TCATATATTTGCCAGACTCCTTTAATTAATACTATAGTAAAAATTAAAATGAAACATGTTTCAGAAACTAAAAAGGAATTCAGCACAATATTGTCATTAGGGAAACAGTGTAGCTGTGTATTGAATGAATGCACTTCACATGATGATATTCACATGTAATGTCACATAAAAGATAATTTTTATCTATGTAAACATATATTATTGCTGTATTTTATAATAATCATTTGCTCACAGTATTTATTTCATCACATACACACATACACACACACTCAGGCACACACACACACACACACACTCAATGCTGCCTGGGGAGATATTTCCAAAACAGGTTGTATCTTAAAGTGACTAGATTCATATAGAATGAGTAAAGATGATGAAAATCTACATAAAGTTAGATGAAATGTATGTACTAGAAAAATGAAACAAGAATATTATCAGCATTAAATTTTAATGCTTATTATAGAATATATTTAATTTATTTTGTACTGCTTGCTGAACGTTGTCAAATCACCATAGCACGGAATCACTGGTGACATTTCAAGTATATTTGTGCAATTACTTTGCCTGGATATTTTTAATGAAATTAATGGATTCCTTAATAAAATATGACTCCAAATTTTATTTGCATAGTTCTATTTTTCCTTTTGAATTACAGCAACTAATTACTAGTTTAAAAGGGGGATATTATTTTATTTAACATTTACTATAAAGATAGATACTTCATTTATTTTCTAACAGAAGTAATTGGTGACAGAAGAAAGATGTACTATTGAAGGAAGAATAAACATCCTTAAAATTTCCACTAACCTCATCATTACTTTCCAAGATCTTAAAAGTTTTTCCTCCTGCTAGTTAAACAGGACACTGCAATAATGTATTGGTGAACTGAGGGACAGGAAAATATAATCAGTCTACCAAAATTAGCACTGAGATAGAAATACATGACTGAAAAGTGAAGGTTTGGGATAAAAGCAATGGGGGAGAAAAAAGAAAGGGAAGCATTCTTGAAGGAATAATCTCTGGCATTCTCCAAGGAAAAATAAAAAAGCTTGCAGAATACCACTCAGGAAGTCATAAGTTTCCTTTTACTTAGAGTTATTTCTTTCAGTTTCCTGGTCCTTCCTGGTATTCTGGACTACCATATAGTTAGTTTAGTCTAGATTTCATTATGGATTAGTGCAGAATTCCAATGTGACCAGACATATAGAAGGTTTTAAAAAACCATATCTCTGGTTTCCATATTAATAAAAGATACTCTGGTTAACCCTTAGTTTAATAAATACTCTTACATGAACATTAGTGATTACATTAAAGATGATGGAATAAAAGTATTTGCAATTCACTTCCTTCTATAAAAACCAACAAGAATAGCATAAACAATGAAAAACTAGAAAAAAACCGAATCCATGTCTTTCTTAACTAACAACAAATTGATGACAAAGTGTGACAAGGAACTTTCCAACGGGGAGACACTTGAATTAGCAGAGAAAGGACGTCACCTGGCACATGTCTTGAGCCGGTTATAGATTTCATAAGTGAGATGTCCTCCAGAGATCGTTTGTTTGAAGCTGTCATGGCAAGATGCAAAGAGCAAGCAAATAACTGAATTATATAATTTCAGCTATATGTTCTCAAATGGTAGAAGATATAGATAAAGGGAAGAATACTGATAGACTACATCTGATAGTCGTGAAATAGTCTGCTACAAAAGTGCAGAATACTAGATTGAAGTTGGGGAAAGGGAAAGAGATGGAGTAACAGTTACTGGGGGTAACGACAAAGGAAAACTAAAACTGCGAGACTTTTACACTGTTAACTATGTAGATCCCTGAATGTCAAAAATAGAAAAAAATATGGTCCTTGGGCCAAAGATAAAACAGATTTAAGGAGGTGAGCTTGAAATCTGAAGTTTAAATAGCTTCTGTGGGCTGATCTGACTCAGCGTCCCACCACTTCCCACATGGAGCTCAGTAAAGTGCCAGCTTCCTTCTTGGTGTATAGTAAGAAAGCAGACCCCTAACAGGCAAAGTGCTGAAAACACAAAAGAACAGCAGGTGCAGTTCAAACCAGAGGAGAAAGGGAACGCAGAAGAAATAGCCGTATAAATAGTTCTCAGTAGTCTTAACAACAACAAATCCCCAAACTACACACACGTTCTCATTAATAGAGAAAGGTGCTCAAACATGATGTAATGTTTCAATAAACAGAGAACAGCAGCAGAAAGAGATATAAATGAATGGGCAGAATATAAGAACACAGTAAAAAAAAAAAAAAGCCACAGTATGGGATTGAAAACTACATTAGAAATTAAAAAGATAGAATGAACACTAGGGAAAATTCACTTGGGTATGGTTGATAAAATTTGACAAAACATTATAGATACAAAATAATACAGAATGTTATAGAGATGAAAAGATCTAAAATAATTAGTATTTAAAAATTATTTAGACATATAAAAGAAGAAAAGTTTCCCAAAATAAAGATTGAAATCTGGGATGAAAATTAACAGTGTCCCGAAAATTTCTTGCTTTGAAGAAAACTATCTTAATGTCAACAATTTCTTCAGTTTTATGCCTCAACTTTATCTTCAAGAAAAAAGTGAAATTTGTGTTATATAACATCAACATATATGGCATAATGGTCTCTTATAATATTGTCTTTTAATCAAATTACTCTTCTATACAATAATATCTATACAGTTGTATCCAGCCTTATATTCAGGAAATGTTAATTTCTGTGTGGTGGGAATTTGAGGTTGTTTTTAAATTTCGGCAATTCCTAATTCTCCATTTAACAACCATGTTTCATTGCTACAACTGACAGTGAGTCACTGAGGTTTAAAATAAAAATGAAGTGAAAATCTAAGAATAATTGGTAAAGGAAAAACTGAGAGATTTTATTGGTTTACCTCTAGACTTACAGCCCTCCAATAAAATACTTTTCCCAATTCTCATAGATTTTGAGGTCTCCATATATACTTGTTCCTGAGGCAAGTATCATTTTAACTTTAGCCCTGCTCTATACTACTAAAGCCCTTGCTGGCCTCCACGATTCTTTGTCTAGGTATCTGTCATCACTGCCAGATGTGACTACCTCCAAGGAAAGGAGCTAATTTTATCTATTTTTGCATATCTGAAAATTAGCATGGTATTCAGCACTGAGAACAAGCCCAATGAGTTAGGATGAATAAAAAAACACAAAAGGGAAATAGTCTCTATTATTTAGTCTTTAAAGGGTAAAATCTTCCATCAGGAAAGAAACCCCCCATCTAAGTGGTGAAGTTTTCTTTGCTATCTCAATCTTCCCCTTTTTTTCTTTTCGATACAGAGACCTATCTTTGAGTTAAGTAATAGCATAAAGTTCTTAAGTAGAAATAATTTTTCCCATAATGATGTAATCATGGCTCAAAATACTAACTGTATTTATTGCAATGACGCAGTGTTGTGAGAATGACAACATACTGAGATTGAAAATAATATTATTTAATTCATCTCCTTCCTGGTTTTCATAAGAAATCAGTCTTAGGTCAAGTGGCTTTCTCAACCAGCAATACAGTCAAAATTAAAAATCAAGTAATCCACAGTCATGGTGGCACATCCCTATAATCCTAGCACTATGAAAGCCTGAAGTAGTATTGCAAATTCTCACCCGGCCTGAGCAGTTAACAGTTTAGCATGGCTGTCTCAAAATAAAATTTTAAAAGAAGAAAAAGAAAAGAAAAGCACGGCCTGGGCTCGATCTCTAGTACTGCAATAAGTAAATAAATAAATAAATAAAGTGACAGATTTTTTCCACTGCTTTTCCACTGGAGATTATTCACAAATCTCAAAGGGGTATGCTTGCAAACAGGGAACTGGAAAGTGGACTTTTTTATTTTACTTTTGTTTGTTTTTGTTTTCCTTTAGGCTAAGCAGAACTGACCACTTTATGGATGAAATAAACCACAAATGTTTTATGTATTGCTTGAAACAAGGCTACTTCCAGGGTGAAGTGACTGAAAAATGACCTTTCAAAAGTTTACCCAGCTTTCTGCTTTCATCTTTGTCATTAAATTCTGTGACTCATTTCATCTACAAAGAGGGTGACTACTTCTGCTTACTTTAATTCAAGATTTGTGAGGCTCAATTTAAATGCGTTTTATTCAAAGCACTATGTATATGCATAAGTACAGGTCATTTTTAACTGGATTAATCATGTGATCATATTTTTATGCCCAGTCATGCTTGGGTAAAATTGGAAGTTATTATGTTGCAGTCAGTGGCCAACTTTAGATTGAAAACTGAAATACAGACACTACACTAGAACTAAATAAAATAACTCTGAATTTCACATCTTTAAAATATAGTAACATTCTAAGGCACCTTTCACAGCCAGAAGTACTATTCCTTTGCACAAATTATCAGGAGTTGGTGATCACTTAATTATTCCATAAAATTTTCTAGCAGTGGAAATTGATTGGCTTTTTGTACAAGTATTTTACCTAAAATAGCTCTGAGTTGCTGGGAAAGAAATGATGATTAAAAAAAAAAATCATTCAATGAATTTGATGAAATTCAGTTATGCAAAACAAATCATACATTAACATTGTATGCAAGTGAAATAATTTCTTTTTATAGTAATGATTAGATTCCATAGCCAATTTATTCTTCAAATGAACAACTAAGACTCCTCAGTTACTTCTGTTATTTCTCTTTTTTGCCTACCTGATTTATTTTTTGATCTTCAAATGCAAAGGTAAGAAAAAAATATGAGTTCCTCTGGACCTCAGGTCTACACATTTTAAATCATTTCCTTTTATCTCTTTAAAACTTGTAAAATTTAAAGAATTTGTAAAAGAATGCTAATAAATTATTTAAGAATAGATAAGACTTAAGAGTTTCTTACCAAACAAATAAGGTAATTTTACGGACTAGCGAATGATCATAGGTTCAAACCACAATTCCAAACATTCTCCTCAAGGCCAGAAATTCATCCACATTCACAAAATAATTTATGATAACTTTTTTTTGTACAAGTACTCTTTATTAAATATATACATATACACAGAATTTATTGGGCTTCATTTTACTAAAATCAATTTGCAAATGAGGGGTTTGGGCTACATTATTTCTACAGCATTTTTCAGACTTAAAATGTGTTGAATCTATGCAAGACCTAGAGAGATAGATAGATATGACTTACAACTGATATTTGCCATTTTCACATTTTATATGTCTCATATACAACCATTAAAAGGCAATGCAATAAGTGAAAAGTTGATGCCAATTTATCAATGTAATTTCTAAGGAATAAGAAATCCTGTCTGCAAAGTGGCCATTTCTATCAGAACATTCCTCCCAACACCCAGAACACATTCACTCACACACACTCCTAGAGCATGAAGAAAGAAGTAGAAGAAAAAAATCTGGAGGCAGCACAACAAGAAATTGGACCTGGACTGAGGTGTACAAAATAGCTGCAAGAACGTCAGTTACACAGGTAAACCTACATAAAGAAAAACAAAAGTCACCATGTGAAGACCCTGGAAAATGGCACATAGAGGCACTGGCATCCCATTCTGTGACAATGATGTTTTTCTTTTACATATTCCCCTTAGTTATGAAACCTTACTTCAATTTTCAGAAAACAAACAAAAACCTACCAAAACTTATGAAACTACAGGCACAAAAATATTCTAAGATGGCTAGCATTTTACCAATTACTATTGACTTATGTTGGGCAAAGTTTCTAAAAGGTCTGTGTAGACTTATTATTTCTGGATGACTCTATGATTCTGATCAAATACTATTTTGTGATCCTTACCACATTAGAGACAAGTACGTATTAGGTCTTACAGTGTCCAGATTTTCTTTTCAGGTACACAGTGTTTTTCACTTACATAACACTCTGTACCACATTTTTATAATAATTTGAAAACCAGTTGCTGAGATTGTACTAACACTGACTAACCTCAATGTGGCTAAGTGAACAAATACACTTGTTATCCTCTATCAATATAGGAAAAACAAATATCTTGGACATGTTCTCAGACTCTAACTAAATTTCCTTCATTAAAGAATGCAATGTCCTCTGCTAAATTATGGTTCTTTAGCATGCATTGGCTGTTCTACTATTTAAGTAGTATTGTAGATAAATGTGAAAGAACTTCCATAAGAGACTGTCTACCACAGTGCCTGGAAAACAGTAGTCTTTAGGCTCTGAATAAATATGTGATAAATGAATACAGTACATAACTGAAGGAACTACTATGACAAAGAATTCGTACAGTGAGTTAAACTTTGGCTCGGAGCACAAAATTTCAAGTCAACTGTTAAATACTGTTTGGGCCAACACATGAAAGGAAATACTTTCCCTAGTCTATGTCTTTGTTTTGGATGTGGCATAGGTTCCACTGTATTAATCAGGGTTAGGTTTGTTCTATTTTCCTTTCACTGATGTTTTAACAGGAAAAATCCTGTTCTTGTGGTCTCTCAGACAATCACCAAAGGTCAGTGTATATGACATCCACTGAAAAATTCTGGTTATGGGGAATGCCACTGGGAAATTTATGGTTGCTGGCTGATATTCATAGGGAATTAAAAATACCGTAGTCTGTTTTCAAATTTTAATGCAAAAATATGCATCACATATCTCTGATAGCCCTATTTCTCTTGTTCCAGGATAGCCTGTATTCCATCTAATTTGAACACTGAATAGATCCTTTTTAAATCACCATTCTGAAAAGAAAGATGGTTCACATTCTTTTCACTGAGGAATTAATTAACTCTCCCAATAACCGGCTTGCATTTTTTAAATGGAAAAATTACGTAGAATTTTTATTTTAGTAAAGAATAATCATCTTTAAAAACATTTTAAAAGACAGTCCGCATTTTCACCAGCTTTTAGGATACTATTATAGCAACAAAATTACATTAGACTTTCTGATTTCTCCATAGTGTCCTTAGATAAATAAACAACCCAATAGACCATGTTAAATGCCCCAAATGTGACTGGAAAGAGAATACGGGCGTATTTGTCTATTTTACTTGTGCCAGACCCAGAAGGCGGCGGAGCAGGGGGAGGAGTCGCAGCTGATAACTTCCCAGAAGCCCCTGTGGTGTTAACTGTGGTCTTAATCCGCTCCAGTCTTGATCCAAATACATGGCGACTAGCAGCTGATCCAACTGCAACTTGTCGTGACACATACCCAGTTCGGCTGGGAGTAGAAGAAGGTGCAGACTGAAGTCCTCTTGCAGCAGATATTGTCTCAGCTGCGTTGGCCCGGCTGAAAGGGTTTGGACTGGAAGCTAAGTATGACTTCGATGTGGTCTCAGAAGATTCGTGATCACCAGTGGCAGATTTACTCAAATGGTTTCCCACTTCAGTTTTATTGCCAACATCAGATTCCGAGTGAACCAAAGCATTTGTTCTTTTTCTCATGTTCAAATTGGCACTTGTATTCTGAAAAAGCATATTAAAAATTTATATTGGTTATGTAATTTTAAGTAGATTTGTGCAAAACTTGAAGGGATGAGAATACACAAGGTTATTCATGTGTGCAAAATAAATTTGTATTAATCTCCCATAGCCAATCAACTTGGTGCCAAAGCTTAAAGGCATATAAAAATAAAAATGCATATACTTGAATCTATGAACCCAAAATCTTCTGAGTTATCTATTTTAATAAATATTACAAATCTATAAAGATGAGAGTATTAGTACTATAAAACAGTTTTATACTTGATATGAAGTATACTCAATAGCTCTATATGCTCTTTGTTCAAATTTTATTGAAAATAATTATTCTGTAATGTGTCACACACATTTCAAAGTTTTATAAGTACCTTTAATTTTATTAACATTTATAGCTCATATATGCACAAAATGGCAAAAACAATAATCTACATATGCATGAACTGCTTTGAAAAACTGAAAACAATTCCCAAATCTCTGGAATTCATTTTTATAAAAGAATCTTAGGTGATAATATACATTATTGAAAAATGTAAACATCCTGATGCATTTTACTTTTCAGAATTAAAAACAAAAATACAAGAGAATATTAATTTTACATTAAAGGTTATATTAGACATATAACACATATCACCAAATAGTTGCATAAGAGCTCAAATCATTAACCCATAAGGAGCAACTAAATTCAAGTGTAGTTCAATATTTTCCATCAAATTAATTGATTTGCAAAATAAAACTATATATGAATAAAGCTTTGTGGTGAGCCATAAAGTAATTCCTTTATTATTCTGATGTGTACATTAAATAACTAAATAATGCAGTATAGATTGTCCCTGCATTCTATGAAGTAAAGCAATTGCTTAGATAGTTCTCAAAATAGTTACATGTGACTTTTTAAAATACTATAATTATTTAACAGTAAATTACCCTCCCTAATTATGTTATTCTACATTATAATAAGATCATATGATACAGTCTCCCACTGCCATTGTTTGCAATATGGTATGGATGATGAAATGGAGAGTAGAGGGGAGAAAGGAGAAGAGTTGCTCATGACTGACTGAAGGGGCCAGACTTGGAGGACAGTTCACAGATAACACATAAAATGGCAACCCTGTATATAATTAATCAGGAGCTCACATTAGACAGAAAGGCTTATTCTGAAAATATCTTGCTCAGTACTACACTAATCCAGTGTTTTTAAATGTTCAATCCATACCTCATGTACCTGTGAATTATGACTTCAAGGTCAGTGACTAGAGAAAAAAACCAAAACCAAACCAAACCAAACAAGAGCCTCACAAAGCACAGAGTGCAGGCAGACTCTGAGAGACCTAGAACACATCCTTCATGTCAGCTTGGAGTACTCTTCTAAGCAGGTTGCAGCCGAACTAATGAGAAATTGTGCCCTAGCATATGGCACCTAATTTTGGTGAGGATAATTGAAAGCAAAATTGAAATCAACCTAAAAGCTAGAGATATCATTACTTATCCTGCACATTTCTTCTACAAAACAATATAAATGGCACCTAATTAATCCTGTTTATGAATATCATTTTTACAGAAAAGGATGATAATTATTGGTTATCCTTAATTCTAAAATGGCATACACATGGTAACGATAATAAAAAAGATGATACATTTAAAGAGTGTACATTAACAATACTGTATACACCCCTTACGTGACATAATCAAAAATGTAGCAATAAGAAACATATTCGAAGCTCAAATTGAGACAAAAATGCTAAGAAGAAAAAGGAAGAGGTCAAAAAGGGCAGAATTGAGCACACAGGAGAGAAGTGATTATAATCATTGGCAGTGAAGAAACACACTTGAGAATTTCCACCACGTGCAGGAATGAAAAACCCAAGGAGGCAAAAATGGCAGAATCCCTGGCTGAAGAGATGGGCCTGCGAATCTGAGGAGGTCAGTGTCGCTAGAGTGCACAGGACAAAGCACAGAGAGGAGAATGTTGAGAAAGACTGAACTGCACAAATCTGAAGAGAGTCCCTGTTGAGTATTTTGCTAGGCCAAGAATTGCTAGCCAAGGTGTCTGAGGCCAAAAAAAGAACCACAAAGAAAGATTAGTGGAAAGGCTACTTGACACTTTCACAAAACTGGGAAGAACACATGTTCCCACCAAAGGTGAAAATGGCTACGTTCATGTAGCATTTGACAGAGTACTCAAAAGATTCTTAATAGTATAGCAGAACTGGCGAAACTCTGCCCTGGTGCTACCTTGTGACACTGGATAGCAAAACTGGAAAGGATGAAACTGATACCAGTACTTTACCTGCACCTCAGAACAAATCATAAGAACAATGAAGCTCTTCTTCATTCCCTCTAGACACCTGAGCCCTTTTGGAACTCCCTGAAATCTTGTGAGCCACGTTCTTTATGACAGAGTGGTTACAAAAATGGCACCAATTGATCATGTCTTTTTTATTCATGCCTTTTGTGATACACTCACTCCTTCCCCACCGGGAGACAGAGTTGATTTCCCCACAAGCTACCATAAGACTTTCTTTGGCCCACAGTGTTTATTAGAAATGATGGCGTGTCTTTTATAAGTCTTAACCTCACAAGTTCTTGTTTGCTTCCGCTGTCTCCTGAAACACTGCTACCACCACCATAAAGAGTAAAGCAGGCTGAGCTGCTGGAGAAAGAGATCATTCTGAGCCCAACCAGCAGTTCCTGTGAGACCATCCTGGATCGCATAGCTAGCTGACAGGAACAGATGAGTCTGTCTTAGCTAAGAGAAGATGAATTGTCTAGGAAAGCTTAATTAAGAGCAACAGAACTTCTGATTTGATCGATAAGATGTGAGAGCAAAAGTGAATTATCTGTGCGTGCTGTGATGTATCACAGTGGTTTGTTATGCAGCATTATTGTAGTTGTAGATAACATATACTGTATAGATCAAGGGTCCAGACAGGGTGTTTCTAAACCTCTCTTATGAGGGATAATTAGTTCTTCAGGCTTGTTGGAATAAAGTTGACTTGCCCAGTACTCATGGAAGATATTTAGGGGGTGTTATTGCCTAACTCACGCACTAGTTAAATGACCAAATTATTTTCCATTTCTTAATTCCAGTGTTCTAGAATTACAATATTTTACACTAATAGGGATCTTAATAATCACTTTATTTCAGCTCCCCATTTTGCAGAAGAAATTAAGAGCAAAAAGTTATGGTTAATTGGAAGTCATATGATGAGTTACAGTATAATTATCTAATTAGCCACATTAAACAATCTACTCACCAATGGAAGAGGTTTAAAAGGCCATATCAAACTACACCTATTTGAGTCAGCCACATATTTGTAGTAGTCAGGAATATTGTTATAGGTAGGACCAACATTCTGGGAAGCTGAGGCAGGAGGATAACAAGTTCAAGTAGAGCCTGATTAATTTAGTGACTCAATGAGAACTTTTCTCAAAACAGTAAAAGAGTGTGGAACTGGGAATGCAGCCAAATGAAAAGGCCCCATACTCAATCTCTGGTATCATAAAAGATAAAGTATTTAAGACTTGGAAATCAGAAACAAATACAACATACCCTTTCAATAGCATAGTGGAACATTCAGAAGCCCACTCAAGCATTTTTAAGTCTTTGCTACAATTTATAAGGTTTACTTTTGCTGTTTAAAGTTTGATTAGAGCCCAAACACTCTGAACTTTGCATATTAACTTACAGCTTTATATTTGGTACAAAAGTTTACCAAATGTTATGGTTCTATTGTCCTGAATGATATTGAGTACTTGTACATCTAACCTAGCAATTTTGTTCCAATATTTCTTTTTAAAAGTGCTTATAATCTCCTATTTCTCGCCTGGCATGGTGGTGCATGCCTATAATCCCAGCACTCAGAAGGCTGAGGCAGAAGGATGATTGTGAGTTCAAGGCCAGCCTGGGCTACAAAGTGAGCTCAAGGCCAGCTTCAACTGCAGAGGAAGACCCTGTCTCAAAAAAATCTCCTATTTCTCAAAAATATTTTGAATCAGTTTTCAAAGTAGAACTAAGTAGTTCTCTTATTAATGACTCCACCAAATGTTTGACTAATGTTCACCCAATATTTGTATGAATCATGTGCTTTGATGGATTGAAAATTATATCCTGACAATATCTGCTGAACAATTTATAAATAATCAAAGAAATATAAGCATAGACGTGAAGAATAGTCTCGAACAGAGAGCACCCAAGCCAAAGATACAGGATTAGTCTAAGGTGATTAGAAAGAAAAATCAATAAAGCAAGAGACTACATGAGAATGGATAGGAATAGTATGCACAATAGAAGATTACTCACTGAAATCAAAGACCAAATCTTTATATTTCCAGTTTAAAAGCACCGCACTGTCTCACTAGTGTAAAACCTGAAAGAGTCAATATAAACTCGGAGGTATGATAGACATTGTGAAAAGATAGGAAAATGCTCAAGGGTAAAGGGCAACTAGGATGGGGTAAAAGAAGGGAAAGAAGGAAAAATGTTGTATGTATGTATATACAGCATAGTTAACATAGTTGATCTACTGTCTTCTGTTTCTTTGCTGAAAGACACTGTAAATGAGTCTTTGATGGATCAATATTGCATGTCTCTATGTGTTTTCCTGAGAAACCACTTTGAAGATATCAATATGTAACACAACAGTCATTGTTACTTTCCTATCACTTTGTTTGTAACTCTGTATTGCCTGTGCTGTTCTTTTGCTATTTTGTAAAAGGTTGTCTGTCTGTTAATGTTTTCCTCCTTTTATTTTTAAAATAAAAAAATAAAAGTGTTAATGAGCTTCTGAGTGTAAAGACTAATCACTGTAGCTTAAAGTGCATGAGAAGTACTAATTTCATACTTAATAACTGGAGTCAAAAGATATGATACAGAATCAAGATTCTTCTTCATATTTTTATCATCAAAAATTACTATATTGGTCTCTAGATTATTATGTCTTTCTCTATGGGGCAGATTTCAAGAATATTGTAGGTGGTACTTA